AAGGTAGGCTCTGATGCTGGATGTTAAAAGCGCTCGGTCTGACTCGGACTTACTGGATGTCCATCGTTGCTCTAGGCGTCTCTAGGGGGGAAAGGGGAACAGTGTGACACAAGAAGCTGGCTAATGTGTATGTATGCACATGAGCACACAGCTGGCCCACCACTCATTCAAGTTGAGTTGTGCGCATGCATGTGCGCATCAGCCCACCACTTGCACAGCTTGGTTGCAAACAGGCCTTGGCCCAGGGATTGGGGATCCCTGATGTACTTGGTTACTACATTTTTTTTCATTGTTGGTATTCATATATTCTTATATTGTATTGCTTATTATTATGAAAGATCTCGTTTCCCTTTGATTAATTGTTTGTTTTTATGCTGTACACTACCCAAAAGCCACATTGATTGAGCTGGATGACTTTATTTTATAAATAGAGGACTAAAGATGCTCAGATAAAAGTTTAAGATTTCTGTGACTAAAGTTGTAAAATATAGTTTAGATATTGTATGTCATCAATCATAATAAAATACTGACAAGTTATAAAGGTCAGGTTTTAGCCCGAGTCCAAATTATAGTCAAAATTAGACAAGCAATATTCGTTCTATAAACAATTGGATGTCTTAAAAAAAAGAACAATGTGTGTAAAGGGAGCTTGATTTGGATTAAGGCACTGAAACTAGGAAGTAGGATCAATGAGATTTTTAGTGTCTCTGCAATGAGCAGGAATAGGATATATTATATGGATTGTTATTATAATTGACAGTATATGGTTAAATCTTCTTTTCTTATCCTGTTTTGTGTTTCGCCTCTTAAGGTTGCAATTTACTTTTGAAAACAATGAAAATATTAACTATATGAATATATTGCATACTAATAATAGGCCTCAACAATGGCAGGTAGATTTGGAGAAGAAGAGTTTGGAAGAATCATTACCTAATATATATTTTTTCCTGTTATTTCTAGACTATACCAGATTGTCTCCCTTTGAATCTTGAAAGAAATTATGAATTGCTTTATCTGGCAGAACAATTCATTGGAATCCCTGTTTTGTATTTGAGGTTTAGATTGCCAGAAATTACAAGGTGAGTAGATATAGGTAAGCATGCAAATAAATGCAGTTCTATTGCTTACGGCTATTGTGGTGAGCATATAACAAGATGTAGGAAGTTTTATCAATGCCAGTTAATTGTATTTTATTGTGTAACATTGTTTCTGGTAGATAAAGAAAACAATAAAAAGAGCAAAACCAAAGAAAAGAGAAAGGCATACATATGCACATAAAATAGATAAAACAAAACAAAGCTGGTAGTAGCTTCCTTCTTCCCCAACTCCCTCCATATTTTTCCCAAAACCAATAATGCTGTTTAAATATTTTCACACTTTGTTTTGGACATCTGTCATTGTTATTGACTTCTTTTTAAATTAGTTTATTTTTAACACTTTATCTTTTACTTCAAAAACTATATTCTGTGGTTAGATTTTTGCAGTGAATAAAAGGTAAAGATTCCCCCTCGCACATATGTGCTAGTTGTTCCCAACTATAGGGGCGCTGCTCATCTCCATTTCAAAGCCGAAGACCAGCGCTGTCCAAAGACGTCTCTGTGGTCATGTGGTAAACGCCCAAAGCACCCAGAACGCTGTTACCTTCCCACCAAAGGTGGTTCCTATTTTTCTACTTGCATTTTTACATGCTTTCAAATTGCTAGGTTGGCAGAAGCTGGGACAAG